TGGAAAATGCCTGACCAGAACGGCACTTGTATATTTTTGTATAAAGTGTGTATATTTACAGTAAGTTGTGTATATTCACACGTAAGTTGTGTATATTTACATGACACTTGTATAATTGTGCAATCGTGTATATTAACATGTAAATCGTGTATATTTACATATAAATCATGTATGTTAAGTTATAAGAAATGACAATGTATATTAATCCTCAAAACATGTTTTTTTTATAGCAATTAGTGAACACATAGCATGAAAATATGTATATTGACTGATTTATTGTATTTCATGTTAAATATACATGACTTTACATGTAAATATACATAATTTACGTATAAATATACACAATTTATACACGATTATACAAGTGCCTGACTGGTCAGGCACTTTCCAAGTGCCTGACCAGAGACAATTCCTATATATATATATATAAAGTACGCTCTATATTTGAGTCTCATGTGTATTTCACTCTCTATTAATTAATATATGACGCTCAGTAATATTAGTGTCTTTTAGTATTATGAATCATAATTTCAAAACTACCTAACACCAAATTAAGCCTAGGCTAGGGCTGGCCAACTAAATTTGTTGGATTTTCATGCATTGGAATTATATAGATGTGTTTGCAAGAGGCCTATATATAAGTAATTATATGAAAGCCTTGTTTGGTACTACACCTAATAGATACTCATGTATTTGGGTGTCCACAAAATAATATTAATTCGACTGTTTGTTTAATAAAACAGTGGATATTACATGACTGGAGTGACGAAGACTGTGTAAAATTACTGAAGCGATGCAAAGTGGCAATTACATGCAAAGGCAACAAAAATGGGAAAGTGATTTTAGTTGACATGGTCATTGTGGAGAAACAAAACAACAAAGACATTGGTCATGATCATGATCATCAGTTGTACGAAACTCAAATCCTCTTTGATATGTTGATGATGGTGTCATTCCCTGGCCGAGAGAGGAAAGAGACAGAGTGGGCTAAGCTCTTTTCTGATGCAGGGTTTAGTACTTATAAGATAACTCCTATTTTGGGTGTTAGATCTCTCATCGAAGTTTTTCCCTAAAATAATAATATATAAATAAAAAAAATACTTGGGACACTACCATACTAAACAACACAACTAATTTTAAATTAGCCAAGTGGCTCTCATAACATGAGGCCAATAAATGAAACCTACTTTTTATAATTAGTTGTGTTGGTTACCACTTGTAGTGCTCCGAGCATTGCCAAATAGTAAAGCTTTATTATACAGTTTGAGTCGTGACTAGTTAATCGGTGGTCCTATCTGATTCATATTTGTGTCTCACGATCGACTTGGGACACTTAGTATTAGTAATGTTATTTTCAATATGAATAAGTGATCGACAATTAGAGCTAGCATGGGATTTGACAATGTAACTGGCTTTTCCCTGGTGGGCCCTAGAACTCCGTCGACGTGTACTGGAGGTTAGCAACTTGTGATGATCTATCCATATATGTGTGCGATATGTATTTTATAAAAACAAAGCTTTGTTACTGTATTCTATCAAGTATATACATTTAACTTGATAGAGCAAAATAAATTAGCAATATTATTCTATTCAATATTTCTTGTTTTCTTGTTTCAAGGTCAAGACTAAAGTCAATCTGACTTTTTATTCTTTATGTAAGAAAAAGAATACTCGCCATGAAAAAAAGAAAAAAAAAAAGAAGTTTCATCACATGGTAAAACTAAAACGGAACTTGTTAATTATGGTGATTAAAATTAAATTAAATTAGAGGAGTACTATAATAATTTCACTCTTATAATTAAATCTCGTGGAATTTGGATACCTTTACCTCCATGATAACTATCAAAAGCGAATAAATAAGACGTAAAAGTCGTAAAATCATTATAAGAAAAATCCTCTTCAATCGCTGATGAAAAACGCTATTAAACCATTAATATAGTGTTTTACAGAACGTTAATTCAGCCGGCGCTATTAAAAGCCTATAGCTATTATAGCGTTTTTTAATTACTGTTTAAAACGCTGTAGAAAGCACATCTATAGTTTTTCTAACTAACTATGTTTTAGTTTTTATTGCAGTTTTTAATGGCTATCAAGTATCGTTTAAATTTTAAAATCAATATACAAGTGTCCATGCATCTTGGTTAACTATTTGAATTGCTTATAGCAAAAAATCATTTGACAACTATTTCACGTATTAAAATTAGAATTTCAAATGAATAGTGCACTGATATACTATTATAGATGATGCTAAATTTAAAAGTACACCAAATAGTCAAATACCACCTTCACTATATAATTAACTAATTCATACAATAAGGAAAGTAATCAATCTATACTACTGTTTTCAATTTGCCAACTATTTGTTCACAATTTACGAAGTTCAGAGCAAGTCTAGAAAGCAGAAGAACCAAAAGCTAGCTAGCTATTAGAGGGAATGTGACTAGTCGTCAATTTTTTCATAAGTTGGAAGTTTAAAAAATCTTCATTCATTTTGTGCTCCAACTTTAGCAAAACTCCATTCAACAACTGAACAAAGTATCTATTGACCTGTAGGAAATAACAAAAGGCAACAAAATAACAAATGAAATCATGCTAAATAAAAAATCCAAAAAAAGTTTCTAGGCAACTAGTAGAAGTTAAGACCGTAAAATCAATAAGCACAAATAAATCAAATAGATGAGAATTCATAAAACGAGGGACACACTAATAAAAGCATCACACAACCAAGACTTGTCCAATTAGTATAAGCAAACATGTTAGTTTCAGTAGAAATTAAGTATAAAAAAAATATTTTTTTATATTAGAACACTTCCTTTTCACTTATGAAAAATCAATCACAAAGGAAAGAGAATGGGGAATCCTCTTAAAGCAGAAACATGAAAATAAAGCATAACAGGAAAAACAAAACAAAAAGAAGGCTTAAAAGCTAACAAAACAATTAACTCTCAATACATCCTTCCTGTTTAACCCTAGCAGAGACAAACGAAAATCCAAAGTCCAAAAAGTTTTATCTGTCGAAGCCCACAACAAAGCTGAAAGTAAAAAATTAAAATTATGAAAGTAAAAAATTAAAATTAACATAAAAGAAAGGCTATGTTTTACCTCGTTAAAGGATACCATTCGATTAAGCAGATCAAGAGTAAGCAAAACTTCCTCACTGCCATCTATGTACAACTCCTGGGCAAGATGCATGAGCAACATAAGCACCCCAGAATGTGTATACTATAGGAAAGATGAATGCTTCTAGCATGGAAAAGTTATGAAAACACATATTTGAGCTGAATATATTTGAGCTCAAATTTGCCATTCAATTAGGTATACCGGATGCCGTCCATAGTCATGGCAAACCCATGACTCTTTCCCAACTCATATCCGCCTTGTCAATCCACCAAAACATAGCCTGATTCTCATTTGATCTACCACCTCATGTGCATCTTGGTCAACTCCGGCTTTTTTGCTCTTCAAGAAGTCGTCGCTGGAGAAACCGACCTATTAGAAGAAGGTTATGTCCTCACAAATGCTTCCAAATTACTTCTTAGGGACAATCCCTTGAGTGTCACACCCTTCTTGTTGTCTATGCTTGACCCTATTATGACTAAGCCTTGGCATTCTATTAGCACTTGGTTCCAAAGTCATGACCCTACTCCATTTGCCGCAACACATGGGATGGGACTTTGGGACTACAATGAGTATGATCCCAGGCTGGGAAATTTGTTCAATGAGACCATGGCTAGTGACGCGCGATTGGTCACGAGCATGGTGATCGATAAGTGCAAATTCGTGTTCGAGGGATTGGAATCCTTGGTTGATCTTGCAGGAGGCACTGGGACGGTGGCCAAGGCCATTGCATATGGATTTCCTCATTTAGCATGCACTGTGTTTGATCTACCTCATGTTATTGCTGATTTTCAGGGAAGTAAGAACTTGAAATCTGTTGGTGGGGACATGTTTGATGAAATTCCTCCAGCAGATGCAATTTTCGTGAAGGTAAGAAATATATATATATATATATACACATATATTCTCATATAACTCTTGGTAGTAGTTAACATTCATATATAGAACAATTAATATTAGGCTTTTAAGACGATAATTAATTATTCTTGTGTCTGAAAATTGCTTAGGTTCACATAGGAGTTGAGCAACATCACCAATATAAATTAGTAGGCTCTCACTTCAATATATATATATATAGTACGCTCTATATTTGGGTCTCATGTTGTGTATTTTACTCTCTATTAATTAATATATGACGCTTAGTTACTTTAAAAGTATGAATCATAATTCTAAAACTACCTAACAACATATTAAGCCTAGGCTAGGGCTGGCCAACTGAATTTGTTGGATTTTCAAGCATTGAAATTATATAGATGTGTTTGTAAGAGTCCTATAAATAAGTATAACTATATGAAAGCCTTGTTTGGTGCTACATCTAACAGATACTCATGTATTTATGTGGTTTTATTTACAACCACAAAATAATATTAATCCAATCGTCTGTTTAACAAAATAGTGGATATTGCATGACTGGAGTGACGAAGACTATGTAAAATTACTGGAGAACGTGCAAAGGCAACAAAAAAGGGAAAGTGATTTTAGTAGACATGGTCATTGTGGAGGAGCAAAACAACAAGGACATTGGTCATGATCATCGTGCTCATGATCATGATCATCAGTGGTACGAAACTCAACTCTTCTTTGATATGTTGATGATGGTGTTACTCCGTGGTCAAGAGAGGAAAGAGACAGAGTGGGCTAAGCTTTTTTCTGATGCAGGGTTTAGTACTTAGTACTCCTATTTTCAATGTGAATATGTGATAAACTGGCTTTTCCCCTGGTGGGCCCTAGAAGCTCGTCGATTGCACCAGAGGTTAGCAACTTGTGATGATCTATCCATATATGTGTGCAATATGTATTTTATAAAAACAAAGGTTTGTTACTGTATTCTCTCAAGTATATACATTTAACTTGATAGAGCAAAATAAGTTAGCAATATTATTCTATTCAATATTTCTTGTTTTCTTGTTTCAAAATCAAGACTCAAGTCAATCTGACTCTTTATTTTATATGTAAGAAAAAGAATACTCGCCATGAAAAAAAGGAAAAAAAGAAATTTCATAACATATGATAAAACTGTTATGAATGGTGTTCTAAAAGCATGAGATGTAATAGGATATTTATTATTTATTTAATAAAAGAGTTTATTCATTAGTTTTTGTGCATATATTAATTAATATTTTGTGAATATCAGTGAAAATTCCATGATTATTTATGTGACCTTAAATAATGTATATAAGTGTTATATACGATAGGATAATATTTAAGGATAATAATCAAAATGATGCTCGTAATGAATTTAATTAATGTTCAGAATCTTTAATTACAACATTTCTAATACATGTCATTCTCATTTAGAATGGAATGGTGTTATCTGCATGTTAACATGACGAGATATTGAATGAGTGTATTACATATAATGAGATTATGTGGAACAGGGACATAGACGCAATATGAATTTATGATAATTTCTGTTAAGTCTACAAATTTTAATTGGGTCTACTGATGGTCATATATATAATGATTTTAATCTTGAGTTCTTAGCAGACTCTTAGGTATTGATTTATATCTTTTAATTTACTCGGTATGGATTCTGAGATCCTGAGTCCTATTCCTTGTATTTTGGAGACATGATGAAGTGAGTAGTCAGGAATATTATTATACGAGATGGAATCAATTCTTTTTTGAGAAAGAAGTAGAAAAATAATTCTCTTGAGGGCTGATTCGGTACTTGGACCAATAGGAGCTCCGATTCATGAATTTATTTTATGAATCATTGTCCATTAGAGAATCAATGGTACTCAAGGATATAGATGTAATTCGACACATTAACGGATTTCACCTAGCTCTAATTATGAGTTATTTATGGAGGATTAATCTATATGTAATAACTATATCAATTCCAAGTTTATAGTAGAGTAGCTATTGGAATTAATAGAATTAATTAATTAACTAAAGAGTTTAATTAATTATTAATTTTATTGGAGCTCGAAATTATAGGTTCATGAGTCTCCGCGTCGTCCTTATAATCCTACAAGACACTAAGGGCAAATGGGAATTTTAGAATTATGGAATTCTAAAATAAAATGCTCAAGGATAATTAATTGAGAATTAATTATAAATTAAATAATTTGATTATTTAAATTTAAGTTTATTATGAAACACACATGTGAATGTGTTCACATAGTGTGAACTCACAGCACAATGTGAATTTCTTTGGGATTCATTTGCTTGCTCTCAAGTTATCCATTTGACTTATTTGATAAGTTGACCAATTCGAAATTCAAATTAATTTAAGTTTGACTTGAATTGAAATTTGAATTTAAGTCAAAATTTACATGTGGATAAGGGAGAGATTTTGTTTCAAAATAAAAATGAAAATTGGAAATAATTATCAAGCTTTATCTTGGAGATAAAGATTAGCCTTTTTTTTAAGAGTCTAACTACTACTTTATAAACAGGATATTACAGAAAATTAGAGAACATAATTTTTGCTCTCCCTAGCATAGGTGGCAAAATTTTATAGGGTGA